CCCCTCATCTTACCCACAGACACCCCTTCATCTTACTCACAAACATGTCCCCTCCATCTTTCTTTCTGATAGGTGTGTTTCTTTTGCTACTTTGGCGCTTTGTTTCTGCCCGGGTTCTACGGTGAAGCCAGGGAACATGGGAGTGTGTGCGATCAGTCTGCCACTTAAAATTGAATTCCATATCTTTATTTTTTTTAAAAAAAGAAGAGTCTCAATATTTCTCTCAGATTGGATAAGCAACACATGTTCATTCTGGAGAACTTGAAAATTATCTACATAGAAGAATATAGAAGGAGATTGAGAGGCACCTTGGGGTGCTTACGTGGAGCCTCACCCCTGCTAATGAGAGTCTCCGTTTGTGCTTTGGGATGAGAAAGTTGAATGAATAATTGTTGTGTCAGGTTAGAGGAGGTCAAAGACAGCCATCTGAACTAACAATGCTTTGCTGTGGTAGCCAGAACCAAGTGCCACAAGCAGGCAATGCTGACAGCAGTTTAGTTTCTCACAGCCTGGACTGGAAGTCTTAGGTCACCATGACAACAGGTCTGGCTTCTTCTGAAGCATCTCTCTCTCTGGTTTACCAGTGGAAACTGTTTCCCTCTGTTTATGTTTGTGTGTATTCTTTCTCTTTCGTTTTGTAAGGACAGCAATCATGTGGCATTAGGATTAATTCAGATGACCTCACTTAAACTGAATTGCCTTGTCAACGACGTTTTCTTCAAATACGGACATATTCTGGGGACCTTTGATTTTGGAAGTTGCAGCCTACAATGGTCTCAGTTACTTTTTCAATGACTGTGACTGCAGCCTCTGATGCTCCTCCATCCCTTCCTCTCTCCCAACCCAAGCGCTCTTTGAGGCTTCCTCAGTGCCACCTGCATTTGCTCTTTTGAGTCAGAGCATCAGCGGCCACCACATCTTCCTGTTATACCCTGTGCCGCCTCTGAACCTGGGCTTAACTTTTTGGCTCATGTGGAGGCCAGGATGAGAAGCCCTTCCTTCTGGCTTCCTGAAGCTTTCCTCATTTCCTGCTCTTGGTGCCTGCCTCCTGCCTCCCAATGGCAACAAGCTCTCTAAGAAAACAGCAGACCAAAGAGGGCCTCCAGTCATATTCCATACACGAGCTCAGGTCTTTCTGAGGATGGGAAAAAGAATGTCGCTTCTCTATGATATCTTGGAATCAGAGGGAGGAATGTTATCCTCTCAGGCCATGGCTGGAGTGCTTCCCAAGACAGTCTCGGGGCTTCATATGTTCTCCTAAATCAAGGTAGCAGGTTTTCTTACTCTCTGGTTGGAGGAGAGGATGCAGTCTCAGTCATGGATGTCTCTGGCTGTCCATAGAGACTGTGTGATAGCGTTTATGCCACATTTTGGTTGATTGATGGTGAGACAGGAGTGAGGCCTCCTAGGGATGTATCAGATAAAACCGAGGCTTTGCCTCCAACAAAGAGAGAAAGCACGACCTTAAGGTCCACATGGATCGATTTTTGAGTGACATAGCATGACCACATGAAAGATGAAGGAGTAAGGCAGTCCAGGAAGAATCACGGAGCATGTGAAAATGTGTGTTTATTCTGATTTCCTTTTCTGAATTTATAAATAAATCGGAATTTAAACCCCGCCCTGGACATGGCCTAGAGTTTAGGAGAAGGTATAACAGAAAGCACAGGAAAGCCAGGTGTCCTCACAGCCCCTTCAAAGGGGGTCATCTTTTCCTGTTCACTGTGGACTGCTGGTCAGTTTTTCCATCAGGAAAATTCACCTGGAATGTAATTTTCTCATTTGGAGAGACCCCCCCCAAAAAAATCAGCATACCTAAGCAGACTCTAATTTAAATTTCACCTGGTGAAGTAATCTAGACTTGTAAAGAAAAATGTCATGTTTCCACTTGTATGTAGAACCTAGGTAACACACACACACACACACACACACATACATGTACATGCCACAAACATGTATGCACTTATACACACACATACATACCTACATACACATGCACAAACGCACATACCATATACACACATCTATGTACACATGCTATACACAGAGATGCGCACACACAGATGTACACATAGGCATATACAACACATAATACACACACAGCTTCTTTCTGCATGTGTATTACACATTTTAATGAACAGTACTTGGTTATTATGACACATTGAAAGTAGAAAAATAAATAGTAAAGAGCAAAAAGATAATCTTTGTTGGGTTTCATAGACACACAGATATAACTACATGTATGTATATATGTATATATAAATATTAATTTTATCCAAATAGAGCCAAGTCTATGACAATCTGCTTTAGTTACTATAATAGAATACCTGAGATTGGATGACATGTAACGAGAGGTTTAGGGCTGGTGACATGGCTCAGTGGGTAATGGCACTTGCTGCTAAGCCCGAGGACCTGAGTTTGATCCCAGTACCCATATGGTGAGAGAACCAACTCCTGCGGGTCATCCTATGACCTCCACATGTATGTGACATGGCACATATGATCACAAACATCATGCATTACATAAAAAAAAATAGAGGTTTAGTTGTGTGTGCATGAACCTTCCCATGATACATCTGGTTTTAATCTTACACACCCCTAGTTGTACACAGGTATAAGGTGGTAACTCTGGGAGTCTCCCTACAAACTCACTTGAGGACACAGATTTGCCTTATGGTTGATGTATTCCAAACCAGTTCAGGCCAGATTGGCCTTTCCATTCTTCGTACCTGGATGCACTGGGAAGGTATTTGAATAGGAACTGTCTGAGTTTGCTTGTTGCCATGGGAGGGGAAACCTATTTCATTATTGAGAGAGGCGTGTAAGTGTAGCCCGAGTAGGTAGGGGTCCAAGGTTGCTGGGTGCACTGTTCAGAGAGGGATGTGTGCACAGTAAGCAGCTGCCAAATGCATTGTTAGAAGAGCAGAGAGTATATAACCCAACCCAAGGGGAGTCCTAGGCTTCTAACTCATTCCCTATGCTTGCCTGCCTTGTGTGGGAAATGTTAACGTTTCCCTTCTGGAGAAGCAACTGTTTACCTCAAGGACTTTTAGATTTTTGGCCAGTGGGGCTCCTTTGCATTCTATACTGGGCTTTCCTGGAAAATTCTTAATATTCTTTTGACTTTTTCAATGACGGGAGGGAAAGAAGGTCTGTACGGCCATGGAGCACCTTGCTGGGATGGTGGGCAGAGATGGCATTATGCTGATTTCCTCACAGAGCAGAATAGACCTTGACCCCTGACTCTCCTCTTCTTTCTTGTGCAGAGAGCACAGGTCGAGGTGTTGCAGACAGCCTGCAGAGGTTTTCTTCCCTGCCTGCCTATCTCCCGGCCAGCTTCCACGTCACTGATGCAGAAGAGGCTTTCTTCCTCAAGGAGGCCAACCAGGACCTCATGCGGAACGCCAGCCTACAGGCCCGGTCCGCCACACTCTTCATCCACCGAGCCCAGAGTCCTCCGGCTATCAATGCCAGCTACGGTCCCTTCTCCGTAGAGAAGACGGTACCCTGGGACTTCCTGCTCACGCTCACCCCTTTTGGAACTATGGAGAGGTTCCCGTTCAACTGGAGGCTCAAATCCCATATCCTCGACAGTTCCATCTTTTCCAACAGACCCAAAGTGCAGACACTGTTCTATGTCACTGGCATGGGATGGGATGAAAGTGACCCTGGCGATGATCTTCCTTGCGTCAAGATGTTTGCCTTCCCAGAGGCCAGGGAAGTGGCAGCCAGCTGCCGGCTGCAAGGGGCCCCTGGGTTGTGTGTAGCAGAACTGGAGTTACTGCCTGAATGGTTCAGCTCAGGTCTGGACCTTGAACCCCGGGAGGAGATTCCGGCGTTGCTGGGTGGTACAGCCATGGAACTCTTCTTTGCGCTTTATCCAGCCAACGAGGCTGGCCAGTGCCCACTGGAGGAGGAGGGCAAATGGGAAAACAATATCCACTCAGAACAGGAGGAGCCTCAGCCAATGCTCCCCGCCAGGGAGAGGATCGGCAGTGTGGTGGTCTACCCTACCCAGGATGACCTACGGTGGTCCTTGGTGACCCTCGATGACAATGTGGCCCTCTCGATCCCTCTGAACCTCATCCGAGAAGGGGACACGGCCACCTTTTTGGTTTCTCTGACCAGTGGCTCCCTGGCTGAGCAGTTCACTCTTCGGTATGTAGTTTTGGGACCTCAGATGTGAGAATTGGCTCTTGGTAACCCTGAGCTGTCAGCTACTAGGATGGGGCCGGTCACTTGATCACTGTTGAGGGGTCTGTCAGAGGCTCATGTGTTCAATTCTAGTTAAGGTTGTGAGGACGGGTTTTACCTAGTACTTACCAACAGCGAAGAGCTGACCTCTGTTTTCATGAGAGCGGGGGCAGGCAGTTTCAGAGGGAGGATCAGGAGAGTAGAGAAGTCAGCTGAAAGAGAGTGACAAAGTGCTTGTGGGTCACCAGTGTGGATGTGACACCTGCTTCATCTCCTTGCTGGCGGTGACTGTTACAGTTCCACCCTCCCCAGAACCTGGGAGACAGAGCCTTGTCTTTCCGGAGGATTCTATTTCAAAGAAATGGCTCTTGGGTCCTTGAGAGCGACACTTGTGAGCTTTAAGAGATGCGTGTTTGTGGTTCAGCGAATGCTTTAGAAGATGGAATTTAGGATACTATGCATCAGATATGCGCTGGCAGCATCAAACCTTCATAGATATGATCTCAGGCATTTGGGGGCCCTTCTGGGGACAACTCTCTGTTGCTGTGGGTCACTCTGGAGTTCTGTCATTTCTCAGTGCAAGGATGGTGGGGTTGTTCAGTACTGAGAGTTCTGCAGCCCGTGAGTCCAGTGCAGTGAGACCCTCACATGAGCTGGAGGTCTAATGAGATGTCAGTTAGGGGGGCGGGGGACATTTCTGAAAAGCTCTTGGTGGTGATTCAGCTCTTTGTGCCTGGCATCTTTTGTCTCTCTGATGCCATTCTCAGCTTTGTTGTTGTGGCCTGAAGAACATCCAGGATGAGGGGGTGGGTTGCAATAGAATGTATTTATAAAAGCAGATGATTTTTGACCTCTCTACTGAATGATCAAATTGAAGCCAGAGTAGCAAAAGACTCTGTCTCTGTCTCTGTCTCTGTCTCTGTCTCTCTCTCTCTCTCTCTCCCTCCCTGTATGTGTATGTATATGAGTATGATTGTGTGTGTTTGAGTGTATATAGTGTGTATGTATGTGTGTGTATGAATATGCGTGCGCGTGTGTGTGTGTGTGTGTGTGTGTGTATACAGCACAAACCATCAGGGTATCATCTAGAGCCCTGAAGGGTGAGAAGAGTTTGAGGGCGGGCAGCAGAGGTGAGTCAGATGGCAGGAGGAGCTTAGGCAAGAGACAGGGATCACACAAGTATATTAAGTGCAAGAATCTGAGGCTGGGGAGACTCCATCAGTAAAGCCAATGCTGTTCTCAACGTTCCTAGCACTTTGTTTTGTTGTGAACCAACCTCTCTAACCGCTTGTACTGGCTGTTTCTACTGGACATAAGTTAGAGTCATCAGAGAGGAAGGAGCCTCCATTGAGGAAATGCCTCCCTGAGATTCATCTGTATTTTCTCAATTAGTGATCAATGGGGGAGGGCCCAGCCCATGGTGGGTGGTGCCATCTTTGGGTTGGTGGTCCTGGGTTCTATAAGAAAACAGGCTAAGCAAGCCGTAGGGAGCAAGCCAGTAAGCAGCATCCCTCCATGGCCTCTGCATCAGTTCCCGCCTCTAGACTCCTGTCCTGTTTGAGTTCCTGCCCTGACTTCCTTTGGTGATGATCAGCAATGTGGAAGTGTAAGCTGAATTAACCCTCTCCTCCCCAACTTGCTTCTTGGTCATGGTGTTTCCTTACAGCAACAGAAACCCAAACTAAGCCACCTCTGTCCTCTCCTTCCTTACACTGAGCTTTCAAGAGTGGACATTGCCGGATGCTGGTGGCACACGCCTTTAATCCCAGCACTTCTGAGGCAGAGGCAGGTGAATCTCTGAGTTTGAGGCTGGTCTATAGAGTGAGTTTCAGGACAGACAGGGCTACAGAGAGAAACTCTGCCTCAAAAAAACAAAAAGACAAGAAAACAAAACAAAACCAATCCAAACTAAACCACCACCACCACCACCACCACCACCACCACCATTACAACAACAACAACAAAAAACCCAAACCCAAACAAAAACCAAAAGTGGAGTAGACGTTTGTAGCTCTGTTTGTGGCCTGATGTGTTTCAGCCCTGCTCAGTAGATGAGCAGTACGCACGTGTATTACTCTGGGCTTCCTGTTTAGGGAGTCCCTTTGGACATAGAGGTCTAAGAACAGATTGGAAAGGGTAGCTCAGACCTTCCCCAGTGCCCTAGCACTCTCTCACTAGAGACTGATACCTATGGCTTTCCAATTAAAATTCTCCTGGGTGGAGTCAGTCCTTGGCTCATCTAGGACAGATCTAAACCGGGCTTACTCGCAGATGCTGTCTGCCCTACGCAGACACAGAAGGCAGCTGGTTCAGATAGTAGCAGTGTGGTCCTTTGGGTCTTCAGTGCTTCTTGCCAAGGTTCAACTCCCAGAGACAGCAGGAGTGCTCTGGGGGCTGCTCTCGGGGTGCGGTTGGCTTTCTCAGTTCATCATACATCCTGGAAACTGCCCCACCCTTCTTTCTCACCTAGACTGACTTCCATGTGGCAATCTCTGTGTTGATTAGTCTGTGCCCTATAGGCTAATTGCCATTTAATGGTATTAAGGAAAATGGATGTGAGAGAGAGAGAGAGAGAGAGAGAGAGAGAGAGAGAGAAGGAGAGAGAGACAGAGAGACAGAGAGAGAGAAAAGGTAGAGGGAGAGAGAGATTCATTTTGTGGCTTGAAGGAGAAATGAGACATATTTCTAGCATTGCATACAGAAGAAACTCAATTTTGGTGCCTTCACATAGCAGAAGAACTGTTGAGAATTAATTTCATTTCGGAGCGGGGTTGGATTGCACCACAGCAATCTGTAAAATCGATAGAACGTTCCATCACCGAGCCAGTTCATAAAGCCCTAAGAGGACCCTCTGACCACAAGAACCACAGATCAAACCACAGGCAAGCTTTTATTTATTTGCCATCTGTATGTAAATTCTGCTGTTATGGAAATTTTGCAGCGTCTAGATAAGACACAATGTACTGGAATAGTTGAGCTGAGATTTTTTTTTTTTTAAAAAAGACATGTCTATGTATAAACATGGGTGAGAAATTAGCGTGACAATCAGCCTTGTGCTTGGGGCCAACCAGTGGCCAAGACAGTGTTCACTTAGATGCACAGTGTTGTATGGCTCCTTTGAATATGCAGTCCTGGATGGCTCGTTTGAGCATGCAGGACTCACTCAGATGCTAAGCAGGCTTGAAGAAAGTTTAAGTGGTTAAATTTGTTGCTTTGCAAGCAGGGAGACCTGAGTTCTATCTCCAGAACCTATGCAAAAAAGAAAAAGCCAGGGATGTGGTGTGAGATTATAATCTCAGCACTGGGGATGTGGGGCTGGAAGGAAGGCTCTGTGGGAGTCACTGGTCAGCCATAGTCTCCTCTGTATTAGTCAGGGTTCTCTGAAGGGACAGAATGGATTGGATGAATGCATGTAATAGAAGGGTATTTATTAGAGTGACTCACAGGATGCAGTCTGGGTTGTCCAATAGCTGTCTCCTGACTGAAGACTGAGAACCCTATAGTTGTTCAGGCCCTGAGGCTGGATGTCTCTGCAGTCCTAGTCTCCTGATGGAGTGAGTCCTGGAGGACTTCTGGAGAGTTGTTGATCTTTAGCCCACGTTGGGATCTAGAAGGCGTTGGACTCAATGCCAGCTATAGCGGTAGGAGAGGTGAACCAGCCGGTGAGAGTGAGGGTGAGCATGCAAAAAGCAAAGTTTCCTTCCTGTGTGTCCTTTCATCTGAGCCGCCACCAGAAGGGTACAGCCCAGGTTTAGCACAGGCTCTTCCACTTCAAGAAATTTGATCAAGTAAATTCCAGGAATGCCCAGCAGTTTGGCTTTCAGTTGATTCTAGGGTTGATAACCAGAATTAACCATCATGTTTGTTTCTCCGACTCAAGACTGGTGTGTGTGCATGTGTGTATGAGAGGGGGGGGGACAGAGACACAGAGAGACAGAGACACAGAGAGACATACACATACAAAGACAGAAAGATGGAGAGACAGAGAGGCAAAGAAAGAGAAAGAAAGAGACAGAGACAGCCACACAGAGACCCCTCATGTGCATGCGTGCGCTTGCTTATACATACATACATACATACATACATACATGCATGCATGCATACATACATACATACATACATACACATACACACACACACTCACTCACTCACTCCAGAGATGGGAGGAGAGGCTGTAGCCCACCCTATTAAAGCCCAATGTCAATCTCCTCAGAAACTCCCCAGGTCTGTGCACAGAGGTTGACCTCATTGCGAAAGGACACATATTTCTGGAGTTAATTGCATCAAGGAACAGAGCATCACCCTCCTCTGCTTTTTGAGCTTAAAAGAAACTGCACTGATGCAGGAGAGAAGGAAGCAGGGCGCAGGTGTGTGCGGCACCCTCTGGGTTACATAATTATCAGCTCGGGTGACTTGTTCTGTAACTGGTGGCTGCCATGGTCTTGCAGAAGCCCACGGCACAGTGGAACACCGAGTAGAGAGTTCGACTGACTTTGCTGAAGCAGCTTCTTGTTACCATGGTGACGGGATAGGCGTTCTGAGGAAGCCACAGCCTGGTTGGGTGAGACCCAGCACAAACATAGACTCACCTCTGCGTTGTTCCAGTGCTATGTTTTGTTAGCTTGCCCTCCTTCCAAAAGTTACCATGTTCTGCAATGATGTTGGTTATACATCATCTGCACGGCAGTGTGTCCTCACACCCAGGGAAGCACCAGCCATGGGGAAGTGGAGTTAGGGTGATACCCAGAATGCACTGGGAGGTGAGACTATGGAGGACAGATCTTTGGTCACTGGGGTCTGTCTGTCTTCCATCCCAGGTACTTCAGGGAGATGGTCTATGGTGCCCCACGGCCACCTGTGAATCTCATCTGTTGCTTTATTGTGTCGGGAACAACAAGAACCCATGGGCCCAGGCTCTGAGCCCTTGGCAGACTGCAGCGTCTGGCTGGAATTCAGTAACATTG